CTCGGGTAATAGTTCCATGGGGATCTAATTCTTAATGTAGCTCAAAATTTTAAAATTTCAAGCTTGTTTGAAAAAAAAAGTTTCAAAAGAATTTCTCATAGAATTCATCAGAATTTCTTAAGATCTTTAAGGACTTTCCAGGAGGGTTTGACAGGAAATTTTGAGCATATTTCCAAACTTTGCTGTGTCGTGTTTCAGGAGATTCTGATGAAATCTGCCAGGGAACTCAAAGGAAAGTCCAGATAATCCAAAGAAAATTCCAAGAGATCCTCTCAAGAGCATTTTGAAAAGAATTTATGCTGAACAATGCATTATCCTAAGTAACATTGATCGATTCTCTATCGACTTTTTTTTTTCCTTGATTTGTTTACCGTCGATCTTGTTTTCCGTGCTGAGCATCAATGCTACCGACGCCAGGGAGGCAGCTCCCACACCTGGACCCTACCTATCGACCCATCAACTCATGAACCGGGAACCAACGGCTTTACTTCCCCTTCCGAAGAAAGGCGTGATCAGAGATTTTATGCCTCAGACCATCCCGGCGGCGCCGACTGGGATTGAACCCAGGCCTGCTGGGATGAGAGGCAATCACGCTTACCACTACACCACCGGCGCCGCTATCTCTATTGACTTTGTATTTCGTTAAAAACTTGGGTACTGAACCGTTTCTTGCCGTCTTTGTCGTATAAAATGTTAGATAATAGCTTATTTTGTCGATCTGTGTGCTGAAATTCGCTGGGAATGTGTTACCGTGGCCGCGAGGATACAAAGAGAGAGTTGACGAAGAAAATCTGTCAATGTTGCTTAGGACCTAATTCATTATTCAGCTTGAACTTCAAGGAAATTTAGAGGTTATTCTCATAGAATTCTGAGGTGAAATCCTAGGAAATGATGAAGAATACTTTCCTAAATTGTTGATGGCATACCAAGAGAAATATTTCAAGCGAATTGAAAAGAAAATTATTGTGAAATTTAAGAAAATTCATGCGAGAATTATTAAGAATCTGAAGATAAATGTAGAGCAGATTTCAAGAGTATTTCGGAGGAAATTCCTTAAGATTCCTGCACTGAATTCCGAGACTGTTATGGAGCAAATTTCTAAGAAATACCGCACAGAACGATAATACTATTGAGGGTAATCCTGAAAGTAAAAGTAATTCTAAAGAACTTTAAGAATGATCCTAAGGAACTCCTTGAGACATTTTCAAAGATATCCTGAGATAAGTTCAAAAGAAAAAAAATAAGTAAATTAGTTGGAAAAAATAATTCCAGATTCCGTACACAGAAGGTTGTTTTCGATTTCCGATTAATTCCCGGATCTCCAGGATTTCCTGGTTCAGTGGCCATCTTGGACCACGATCGCTTGTGATGTATTGTTCGGTTGGTGTTCGATAATACAGTATTTGAACTTGGCTCTAGTGTGTTAAAAAAGCAAAAATGAAAATTATATGGACTATACTAGACCTCTTTACATTACTGAGTTAATCGGATCATTCGTATGAATTTAAAAAAAAAATCATTTAATCAAAACTACGCATCACTTATCAAGGTGAATCCTGATCTAACGATCCCAGCATACTAACAAAATCTTCTCTCCTGTGACCTTTGTGGGGTTTCCGAGGTAAACACATGCACATGGATTGGTGCACTTATTTTCGACCTAGCACTAGTTTACGATCCTCTCATACAACTCAAAACTTTGTGTTTAATACATAAAGCCAAGTTTTCATTATCAAAATATCAGGTGAAAGCCAAATTTAACAATGCTGAGAGTTTTTCGAAAGTTGTTTCTGCGAAAAATAGGTTTCAACGTTCAAAGTTTTGCTAAGCGTTCAGCTGATTAAATTTCGTTTAAAAAACCTGGATTCGACGGTATGTTCTAAGTTTGTACAGAACTACTATGAATAACAGTTTCGCCTTCACGTTCAGACTTTAAAGAATCACCGGAACATTAATTCACAACCTTCAAGCAGCGATTAACCAAAGTTCGACGAACATTTCTCAATTTTAACCCCTAACTACAGCACTACCTACAGATGTCTGTAAAAGTTCTTCTTTGAAGCCTGCCAGAAAAAAAAACCATGCATTCCGGATCCACTTCGAAGAATGTGGTTGTTTTAAATTAATTTGTGCTCCGACTGTGAATAATTGTTGTAAATGTAATAATGATATGGCTCTTTCGGAGTAAAGAGGAAGCGAAAGCAAAAGGCATATGTACTCCAGCGAGCGCTCCGTGTGAGACCAACGAGACCAACGCGGCACAGCATCAGTGTATAAGCCCGATCCATGGTGTGTTCATTCAGTCAGGGATACACAGAAGACTCCGGGACGATAAAGCCAAAAGAAGAACAGACAGTTTAGAGGTGAAAAAGGCGAGAGCAAGTACGCGCCTTATCGGAAGATTTGCTCTTCGAGGGGTAGAGATATGACTTGAAAGATCTGTTGGAATCTGCTGACTTGGGATAATGGTTGTTGCGATTGTGAATCTGAAAAGTGAAAATTACAATGGAACCCCACACGGCAGCAGCTTCGGGGAACCGTTCGTGATCGTCTAATTACATAATTTATATTCTAATTACATCAACCCCGAGCGAACCCCTCGTAATGCGCTAGGACCGAGACTGTGTGTGAGTAAAAAGAATTCTACCGAAGGAAGAAAAAAAAAAGAACCCGCAAGCAAACTGGCTTACTGGCTATGGTGGAGTTTTTCTTTTCTTTGGGCAATAAAGAAGAGGAAGAAGGAAGTGATTTTCGAGTTATTTGGTGATGAAGATTACTGTATTTGGCAGACGATTCGCTGCTCGCCAGTTCCACCGGGCGTGGTAGATGGTGCTGTCGAACAAGTTCTTTTCTCTGCTGCCAACAGAAGACAGTGGCCATCGCCAACAACTGCCCCCGCTGTCTCTGCAACAACAAAAAATGAAAGTGAAATGATACTAAAAGTTACATGACCCCAGGAGACGACCATCAGCATGAAAGGAGAGGAAATTTAATGAAAAAGAATTTAATGAAAAACCATGTACTACGCATACTTTAACACATTGAAAATTTGCTCGCGCTGTAGGCACGTTTAGGTTGTTTTTTTTTTGAAAAGGGAAAACACGAAAGAGTCTGGTTCTATTTTCCTTCCATTTTCGGGCGAAATTCTTCTGACTGGGGCAAGTTTTGTTCGTTTTGGCGTTACAAATTGCGGCTGGAATCTGAATAGCGTTCCTTCTTTTTACCTTCACATGCTGCAAGAGCAATAAAGAAGTTTCTGTATCCCGGGAAAATTTGTCACCGGATCTCCTCTTCTGTCGGATCGAATTTTGTTGTGCTTCGCTTTCGCTGTGTGTGTGTGTGTGTGTGCCTTTTTCTTTGGGACGAGAAGATGGTGATAAGCGGATTTTTCCTCAATTAAATGTGAAGAGGCTTAGAACTTTTAAATTAACATCAGAAAACTTTTCACCGTCATATGGTGCATGGTAATTGGTTGCAAGGCATCCTCTCTACATGCAGTCGATATGTTTGGTGTTTTAAATTTAAACGACAAACAAAATAAAAATTATTTCGAGAAGTTGAAGATACCCGTGTTTAAAATAAAAGTCTTTGGTAGAAAACGATGAATCTGCTTGCAGTTTTACAAATGACTACACTTTCAATAATCTGATCACATACAATCTCATCAAAACATGGTCATATTTGGACATGATGAGGAAGAACAGAATTAATAGAACTATTCTGGTGCAGTTTCGGTTTGGGTTGTGATCAGTCTTTACACTATGTTTTGCAAGGTGCGTTCACGATAGAAACTTTAAATTGCAGAAATCTAGAGTAGGTGTGCAGGGTGTCGACTACCTGTAAAAACATGGAAAATCAGGGAATCTCAGAAAATTTCTTCAAAATTCAGGTAAATATTTGTAAAGCCTTACTTAAATGTATGACTGATCTCACTAGTCTCATACAATTCAATTGATCGGTGATTTTATTTTAGAATCGTAAATCGTAAATGGATCAAATCTCATGGAGAGGTTCTCATTCAAACCAAAAAGTAAGCAAAGTTAGGCATTTTTTGTGGGCAAATGAAAAAAAACATAGAAGGACGCGGTTTTCAAATTCAAAAAGCTTAGAACTCATATTTATTTTCAAATTTTTGCAAGACAAAAAAAAACAAAATGGAGCCCGTGGTCACGTTTTGAGGAAGGTACCTCAGGATCGATCTGAAACACAACACGAGTAATGAGGCTTTGAAGTGAACTAAATTTATTGGAGGAATGACCTAAGAACGGGTAAACAAACTTCAAATTTGACAAAATGGTGCGATCTCAAACTTTTTGGTCGATTTTTCACCCCTGTTTTCATCTTTAAGGCTTCAGAAAAAATAGTGAAATAATAGAAATATAATTTGTAGATTTTATAGGTCATTCCTCCAACGAAAAAGGTTTTCTTTCGAATGGTCAAAGGTAGAAGTCGTTAAATTGAACCGTTTTCAAATGAGATTGTAGGCAGTTTTGAAAAATCATGTTTCGAGATATCCGCGCGTCTCGAGCCGAGAGCGTCCCATGGCGGCCTGGACTAGAGGTGAGTAAATCAGCTCATCTGGCTGAGCGGAGCAGACCTGTCCAGCTCACTAACGGGAGTCGATTCTTTTGAACAGCTCTTCAGCTCACATTGAAATAAGGTAAAATCAAAATCGGAAAAGAAATAAGTGGTTTTGAACTCTAAACCAATAGAGTTTAAAAAGGAGGATCGAAGTGTGCCCTGCTTCTACACGGACGTGAAAATTTTCCGGTTGTCAAATTGTTCGTCTATGTTTTTTCGTCGCGTTTTTTTTCTAGAGAAGTTCGCGAGTGCAGACTTTTATGGCCGAGCTAAGGATAATTCCAGGTCGTTATCATCGATACTGCAGCCGGGGCGGCGTACTTTTACTTTTGAGCGTCTTCACTGCGTGAAGCAGTGTTGTGGAATTCGGATTATTTTCATTTTGGGAGTATTTCTCAAGCAATCAAGAAGTGACCGCAATGGGCCAGCACGTGTCCAGGACGAATTTCGAGTGGTGTTACACCGAGGAATCACACGCCAGTCGAAGGAAGATTATCCTGCAAAAGTATCAAGAAGTTTTCGGTTACGATCCGCGGTTCAAATTTGTGGCTGGAGCCATGATGCTAACGCAGTTTGCGATGTTGTTCATAATGAAGGACCAATCGTGGAAGATGATTTTCCTGGTGGCATATGTCTTTGGAGGGGTGATTAATCATTCGCTAGAGCTCACCTGTCACGAGATTGCTCACAATCTGGCTTTTGGACATGCAAGGCCGATGGCAAACCGGCTGTTTGGATTTTTCTGCAACCTCCCGATCGAAGGAGCGGATGCATCCAACGACACTTTTAAGCACTAAAGAATCTTTACCAACATAGGAGAAAATTCGGTAAGATCCTTCAAATATTTACACATTACACACAACTACACATAGTAACTCGGAGCGTTTGGTACGGTATTTCCACGCATCCTTCCACCGCTGTAGATTCAAGAAATGTTCCCATTTATTTCCAAGAATCATCTTTGCGGCAAATACAACGCAGTAGGCCTGGCCGTATTGATGTTTATATCATACCTCAGATATGCTGTAAACATCAATTAGACAAGAAAAATGATTAGACTTCATCTAACCTAATCATTTTCCAAGATGCTTTCTCGTACTGGCTGCGTTTGTATTAGTTTAGATTAGATTAGATCTAAACCAATAGAGTTTAAAACTACTTAAATTGTAAGTGTAGTCTAAACCAATAAATTCGTAGCTTATAACATGACTCTACCTTTCAATTGTTAACGCCACTTACGCAACAACTGAACAACCACCGTGTAAACTAAAATGCACGCAAAATGTGCCAAAAATATGTCAGTAAAAGCAAAAATGTATGTGAGAGAGCTTCACCTACCACGCGATGATATGATTGACATCGTGTCACACGATATTATGCCTTTTCCCATGCTGTGCAATCCAGTCTAGATACAGATTTTATTGCTGATGTTAATTCTCCAGCAGAATTGCTCTCACTATTCTCGACTTCTGCTCCAGATCATCAGCTCAGTTCCGGATCCGGATCTGAATCGTGAAGAATCGAGAGAAAACAAGATCCGAAAGGCTGAACGGGTCCATGAGCTGTCATTCTAAACAGCTCCCAGTTAATCATTCGGGTCGATGATTCAGATCCGGAGCTGAGCTGAGGTGGAGAGCTGCATCCCGCTTTTCATTTATTTTTATGGGAGGAGGTGAGAGCACATATGCTGGAGGAATACCGTCTCAGCAATAAGACCCGGGAAGAACCAGTAGAAATTTAACATCGTGCTTGGAAGTTTACTTTAACCGTTAATGCTATCGCGTTCAGTAGGCACATGTTGTATTACGAGCGCATCTTGGTTTACGCGGGGGCTGTTCAATGCGTAAGTGTCCATTTTTGAAAAGTTCTGCTATAAGTGACGGATTGCGGAATCAAGCGCTTTGGAATTACGAATTGGAGTACTGCATATAAATGGTTTGAAAGCTATTTGTCTGACAGAACTCAACGGACTGTTTTTAATGATTCTGTTTCCAGTCCCGTGGGGAATAACCTGGAGTGCCCCAGGGAAGTGTATTAGGGTCCCTGTTATTTATTATGTATATTAATGACTTGCGACGTGTTTTACGATTTTGCGACATTAATCTTTTTGCAGATGATACTGTGTTATTCATTGCAGCTAAGGATTTAGATGATGCCGTTTTACACTTGAATGAAGATTTGCGTTTTCTAAGTAGATGGTTGAAGTATAAGCAGTTGAAATTGAATACAAGTAAAACTAAATTTATGGTAAATTCGCGGAATCGAGTAAATGAGAACGTCTCTGTTGTAATTGATGATGCAACTATTGATCGCGTTGGGGAGATTAAATATCTTGGCGTGATTATTGATGACAACCCTAAGTTCAACTCTCACATTGACAATGTCATCAAGAAAATTGCCAAGAAGTATGGAATTCTATTTCGACTGAAAAACGATTTAACTATTGCCAGTAAAATACAGCTATACAAATCAATCATCTCTCCTCGCCTAGACTTTCGCCCTTCCATTTTATTTCTGACCAATGAAACACAAATATCGAGATTACAGCGCTTGCAGGATAAAATAATGCGTTTGATATTGACATGTAATTGATTCCCTTCCTCAACTTTGAAGCTAGACGCCTTACAATGGTTAACGGTGAAGCAAAGAATTGTATATTTGACTATGGTGTTCATGTTTAAAATAGTTAACGGTTTGCTGCCTCGGTATTTGTGTGATCGAATTGAAAGAGGAAGTGACTTTCATAGATATAATACTAGAAACGCGGTTGAAATAAGAACACCACATTTCATGACTTGTGCTTCACAAAATTCATTATATTATAAAGGAATAAATGTTTTCAATTCGATGCCTAGACATATCAATCGTTCAGCAACGCTTACAGAATTTAAAAGACACTGCATTTCACACGTTAAAACTGTCTTTTGAATAGTTATCCAGTGATTTTTTTTATGAATTGACAAATTATGTATCCTGACGAAGTTATCTCTAACGGATTATTTTATATGGATAGCTGTCATAACGACTTTTTTAATAATTATTGTAGCACTGCAAAAACTATTTCCGATCGCCACGATGTTGATGATGGATTTTTAATATTTGATTTAAAAGTAGGTTAATTAAAAAAAGTAGTCTACAAAGGTTTGAGCCTCGCGCGCGTATTACAGATATAGAGGAGTGAATTTAACATTTGATAAAAAAAATGTAATTCTGAAGCATATTTGGAAGATACCTTGAGTTAGAAGTAAGTTTTCTGGTAAATGTTGGAGGTTCGTGAGCATTCCTGAACATTGCTGAAAATTATGATAGCATCAGATTGCGGGATTGCTAGTGTAATAGGATGCTTTGTTGATTGTTCATTAACTCTTGATTGCTTGTAATACTTATGAATATTTTAGGCAGACAAAAAGGCGAACTAAGAGGTGGACGCCTGAGCTTTTCCACATTTATATCGCTGTGAAGCAACTGTAATCTCTAGAGGGAATTTATACCTGTAACTGGAACTCGATTTTGTATGCTAACCTGGTCATATTTAATTATCTTAAAGATAAATCGTCCAGCTCACACCTTTGTATGGGTAAGAGGTGGGACCATCATCATCATCATCATTGAATGGTTTCGATTTGTGATATCAGTAAGCTGATGAGCTTCGGTTCCTAAAAAATGAACCGCGGGTCATCAGCTCACTTCAGTGAATCGGGTCTTTAGATAAGCTAGGGAGCAGGTTGCCCATCTCTTGCCGGGACGCCGCTTCGAACAATGGCCTGTAGAAACTTTTCTTGTGCGCGGATCGAAAAATCCTTTCAACACAATTTAGTAGACACTTATCCCGAGCAAAGTCCAGCATCAAAATGACAGCAAATTGAAATCAAGTTTTGATATCAACATCAAACTGAAATCATAATTTGATTTCAGTTTACGCAATTGACAAATTTGATACCAAATTTTGTTTTCATTTTGCTGTACATTCGCTCTTCAAAAATATGTTGCTGCGGGTTTGTTTTCACTGCCTTAGCATAACATCAAATTGAATACTTGTTTTGTTATCAACAGGAAAAAAATGATATCAAATTTAGTTTTCAGTTTGCTCTCACTGATAGCAGAAATAGTTTTCAATGTGATGTCACAGAAAGATTTGTTTGCTCTCAATTTTGATATTTTAACCGTTAAAACGACCAAAACGACAGCAACCTGAGTAATCATTATCAGCGAAATCACAACATCAAATTTAGATTTCAATTTGATCTCAGACTTTGCTCGGGATACCTTTAAAAAAAAATTTCGAATGAGAACCTCCCCTTAACAATGTTTTTCAAACTGGATCACACCTACAACCTTTCCGAAATTCCTGCCGAACTACCGAACTACACACGACGCGCGAAAATCATGATCAATGATAACACATTTATAAGCATGTCTCCCAACTGGAACAAACTCACCAAATCCAGCCATAATCGATGTCCAATTAGGGGGCACCTCCTCTGCATTCACTTGATATTACGACACATTTGAGAAGTTAATTAACCGATGGAAATCTCCTTGGAATGCATTGGCTTGATAGTTTCGAATCTGTACTGACAAAAGTGGCAGTATCTGTTTTGCAGATATTTGCGTAGAGAATTTCATGATTTTACAATGTTTTCCATACTGGAAAAAAAAATACTTGACTAACACGGAGGGGTGTTGACATCTGTGAAAAACATGACAAACAACGCCAACATCAACGGATCTAGTTTGCGATCCAAATCGAAACAATTCTCCACAAATCGAAACTTTTACGTCCATTCCCTTCTGCAGCATAAATACGTTCCATTTACGTAATTACTGTGCTAATGAGACTTTGATCTCGATCATAAAGCTTGTGTCCACATTGGTCACACGGCACGAAGCTGTCCGATCTAACTTGTCCAACAATTATCGCTTGAGCGTAATGTCTGAAACCACACACAAATTTCCCTATCCTACCAGCCACCAGTGGCAGAGCAGTTTGACTGTATGCTTTCCCATATGGTCCTGTTCATGTTTGCAACGGTGGTGATAGTCCACCAAAGTTTTAGTGGTGCGAACACACAGCACATACAATGTGCATATGCGTCTCCCACTCGTAGTACTTTTACTCAAACTCGTCATCGTCGTCGCCGTGTCGTGGTTGTATACTAATGGAAAACCAACAGAAAACTCAGATATATAGGACTCTGGTGGGCTAGCTGCAATATGTTACATCATCATCATCATCAATCCGTCGTCGTCGTCGTCCGCAATCGCTTTTCTGCCTCCATATCTGAGGCGAATGCTAAAAGCAACTAACCGCACTACGTTCATTTAAAAGTTTACCAAACTGCTTCGACTCCGACTGGTACGAAATTAAATTAAACTTTGCAACTTTACAATTTTATCCATCATCTCTCGGCGGAGACTCCATGGCACACTGCCCGGTAGCTTGGGGACGTAGCTGTAGCTGGTTTGACAGAAGAAGCCCGAAAAAGCTTGAAGTTTTGATGTTTTTGTGATGGGAGCAAACTTGATATCCGGGGCGGAGAAGAAGTCGAAATAAAATCTTATCATTAACGAACGACCGAACCAACGGAAAGACGGTCCTTGCCGGACGGTCCCGACGAGGAAACGGGGAAGAGGAACGGAAGTTCTAGGTATTTCTGATGACAACCTCTCTGACCTTAGCCGTTTGTCAGCTGGAGCCAAAGCAACATGATGATACAGGAAAGGTCACATCAGAAGTGACACTGAGTGTACCCCGGCTAGGGTTGACAGGCCGGGTTTTTGGAGTTAACTCAGTAAC